TGTGAAGAATATGGTGAAGGATGACTCATCTAACCATATCACTTTTTTTCATATCTTTATTGACCAGTGTCTGAGGCTTTTGCACCACTGAACTCCTCTGTTTGTCCTTACATATAGCACTAATTCATGAATCATCCCAGACCTTGAATGTGTGCTTTCAACCACAATTTCCAACCCCATTCCTACAGATCTGTCACTTTAGTTACTGTTCCTATAGAATAGCCAGTTAAACAGTGTTTGTGAGTGATGCTTCTGCCATCTGTGCCCCAATAATGAACCCTTTTCAAAGTCACTTTATATACCACCAATAGGGGTGGGCGATATGACAAAAATGTTATATCACAATACTTCAAAATGTTTTTATGATACTTGATACGCATCATGATATTTTATTTCTCTGAGATTTTATGAGTTGGATTGGAACAGACAAAATAGAACCTGTATTGCCACATATAAAATACTGCAACAACTACAAGGATGTTTATTCAGTGTTTTACAAACTGCAGTGCACTAAATGCAGTTAAACAGACCTAATTATGCTCAGTTTGTAATGAAACATGTAGCTAGTGAGTGTTCTTTAAGTACTGACGACATCCATGATATACTCAGAAAAGCATACAGTGACGTAATTTATCATTATAACGATAAAATGTCATACTGCCCACCACTTTTCTCCACTCATTTATTCAGGTGTTTATTTAATTTGTGACCCTCTGTAGCTCAAGTATTTTTAAATATTTTGTGTTGTCTGCTTTATGATTTGTATGAGCTTTCATTTCCAGCATGCGCATTAGAATTATCCATACAGTTTGACTCTGGATTAGATGAAGAATGCTCATCGTAGCTGTTAATATGTAAGAATCCTGGGACAGAAGCCTTGTATACCAATGGAAATTAGGAGGAACACATCTTCAGGGTTTGTGCTGTAGCCAAAATACCGTGCCTCCTGTTTGTCATGTTCTTCTGCACCTAAGCTGTTAGGTTTCAGTTTGAGCTGGGCCTAATTGAGCATAAGGAGGTGAGAGCAGGTTTTATTGCATGCAGCACTCAGAGACTGGGCTGCGTGACGTGTGCAAAATACTAGTATCGCAGTTATATTTCTACAGATTGCAGTTACAGTATTCCTTGCCATACATTTCACATTAATTGTTGAATCTACAGTGTGACATGGTTAAACACTGACTTGCATAGTATTTTGATGAAAATAATTTTAGAAGATTACAGATAGTTAGATGTAAATGATTAACTGATTAACTGTTAACCAACAAATAAACAATCATTCCACTCATGTTATTTGTTAAGAACATGAACTGAATGTTGTTTCATTTGCAATTAACAACAGCAAGTTCAATAGGCGAGGTCATCGTTTAAGTTCAGGAACATTTTGGAGTTGTACACATGAGGGGAGTAGTGGATAACTGGGTAGCTAGGCCTACTAAAAAATGAAAAGCTGGTTCATAACTGATATTTTTTGGGTTGTGTCCTTGAATTAGGCTTGCCAAATAATGACTGTTGGTTTTCAGTCAAAAGACTGCTCAGCGTGCAATTAAATACACCAGCACCGGTCTAATACCAGGTACCAGTTAAAGAGGAGGGTAAAAGAGTGGTTGAGTAGTTTGAGGATGAAATGCTTCAGTTAAAAAGAGCTAATTTTAGAGCTTAGTAGTTCAGAAAGAAAAAATTGTGGATTGGTATCAGAATTGATATTGATTTCAGGAAAGAAAAAGTGGCATCATGTCATGATTGTAATTGATTAGCGGGCTCATTTGTATTTGTTCGTGGTCAGTTCTACCGAATTAGTTCGAATTGCAGTCCCACAGTAAAAAAATAAAGAGAGGAAAACAATTACATGTTCAGATATTAGATATTTACAAGGATTATATTATGATCTATTTAAACCCACTGCAATAATTGAAATAGTAATATGTTAAATATATACAGAATCATTCTTTATAGGGTGCTTTCTGTTGGGAGGTGTCTGTCCCAAACCCTAACCCCTAAATGTTTAATTGTGAAAATAATACTTAATTTTTGCGTTTTATGTTGTTTTTAATCTTTTATATCCCTGTTAAAGTGAAGTTGAAAGATTTAGATTTATCATGAGTTTAATGTATCGTTTTCACTTTTTCATGTCACTACCGAAACAGAGTTTTAGGTTATAGGCGTAACTTTCTTTTAGCCACGCCCCTGCATATTAGAGCAGGAAGTGAGACTGCATCTCTGTCCCTCGTGGCCACATGGTGAGCAGTTAGAACCATTGTTTTGAAATAAATGTATCCCAAAGTCTGAAAATCATTGTGTAACATTAATAATTGTCACTACCAACACATATTTTGTGCAACGGAGTAAACCTTTCTGTGTTTTAATATAAATATTATGAATTCATGTGTGTGCAACTGTTTTGTGTGTGCATTTTTGAGTTCTACTCAAACTTAGCTAAAAGTGTTGCTACCAAAACATTCACTACCAAAACATTTGGTAATATGTCATGACTGTTTTGGTAGTGACAAAATGGAATGTTCCATTTTGTTCCAGTTATTTGTTTTAATAAAATAAACATGATTAAGCTGGTTATATGGTCATTCAAAGCAAAAGAATTTTAGTGTGAAGTCCAAGTCAGTTAAAACTTTGAAATGTGTTTTCAGCTCTGACTTTTTTGAACCAGTGGTATAATGATCCATATTGTAGTCTTCTGCCATGTCAATCAGGCAAAGGTCAATAAGGTGATAATTAACCAGCAAAGTGTTATAAAGCCATTTTCATTTGCACAACCACACAAACACAAATGCAAACACCTGGGACACGTACAGGCTAACAGAGAGTCATTTAGTATGAGTGATGCAAGTTTATGGAATGTGACATCTCAATGGTGCATATTTTGCCCATAAGGCACAGAATATCCACTGAACTAAGTGTTCATTTGTGCCTTACAGCGCACATGTCAACAAAGAAAGAATGCTTAGCTTGGGGCTTTCAGTGTGTCTGGCTGTAATAGTTGCTTACTAATGACATACTTTTAGCTTCTGTTGTCTTTGTTTCATCTCGGGTTAACATGGAGCTCCTTACCTTGGGGTAAAATTATGTTTATGTTAGTCATCCTCTAGCCCCCATGTGTCAAACACAAGGCCTGTGGGCCAGATCAGGCCCGTGACACAATCCTATATGGCGCACAAGACATTACAATTTTCTGTTAATATTAGCCCATTTCACAATGCGCTGCACTACAGTCCCCAGCATGCACTGCAACTAATGTGCACTCTGACTCTTCTACCCCAACACCGTCTATGGGACAGCGGTTACACCTCAATTCTACACAATTCTACGCAATTCCACACCAAATGCACTAGCATTTCAGCTGCAGTTCAATATAAACACTTAACGCCAACTCACCTGCGCCCAAGCATCAATTAACTTGCAGCAAAGAAAGGATGCCAGGTGTCTAATTCAAGCAAATAGTTTTAAATTTTGAATATTTCAGGAATTCATGTAATATTGCAAGGTTCCCTACAAGTGTCTATATTCTACTGCTTTTGCGTATTTTGAATAAACAATGGCCAGTTCAGGCACAACATTAATAAAAAATGAAATACCTTTTTTTTTCTCTGGCCCACAGATTTTTTGAGATTTTTTAATATTTTAAAAAATCCCTTTAGTGGTTGAGTTTGACACCCCTGCTGTAGCCCCTCATCAGTGGCCAGTTTTGGCTGGATATTTGGTTGCTGTTCTCAACCTGTAGTGATGTATTTAAAAACACCAGCAACATTGTGCCTGATACACTTCTATCAGTGCAACACACACTACCATCCTACTACACTGTCAGTGTCAGTGCTGTGTTGAGATAGTCCCAGATAATAACACCTGGTCAGTGATTCTATGGTACCTTTTTATTGATGGATGGCGTAGAGGGGACTGATGAATTACACAGCAAAATATACAGTCAGTAACTGTAAACCAACAAAGTGCATCTATATGGTAGACATTCCATATAAAATGACCAATAATGGGCTAATAAACTGGTAAGTCAATGTTTAGTAAATAATGAAACAGATGTTCACCTTTGATTGCTACACTTCAGTTGGGAAATCAAAATAACAAAAGACATTAGACATTCCTGTGTTTCTAAGCCCCAAGTGAGTTACAGTGGATTAAGTTTCTGAGCATGACACAGCCTGTACGCTCTGCTCGGGGTAAACCCTGGAGTGCCCCACCTGAGAGGGAACTGCAGGACATAAAGTACTGTGCAGAAGTCAGAGACCACATATCATATATATAATTTCCAATCAATTAAGTACATGTTATCGATGTTTCAGAAGGTTTTTAGGAGATTTTATAATATAATACACTTGCATGGGGAAAGTTAAAGTCAAAAGTAAGACAAAAAAAGTGGAGACACCAAAAGTGGAGTTTAAAAGATCATTAAAAGATACAGACATAATGAGACTCGTAAGAACCGTGCAAGACCTGGTAGACCCCCAAAACTGTCCCCTTTAGATAAACAACACTTAAAGTTTTCATCTTGGAGCAAAAATCAAGCTCCACACTCCACACGCTTCAAATATGAACAAATTAACAGGTGTTTCTGTCAGACTGGACACATTACATACTGAAAAATTATAATTAGTTACATTCGGTTGTTGAGGCAAGATATTGTCTGCCTTTTTTGGTGAAGCTGAAAAATTAGTAATTTGTTCTTAATCACTGTTTTGAGTGGAAATTTAGTAAATGAAGGATGGCCTCTGACTTTTGAACCTTTAGGATTTGAGATCCTAATCATTTGAAGAGCAGGCTTGAAGCTGTGGATCCTCGAGGTACAGTAGTGCTGAGGCCTGATGTTTTCGATGAAGCGGACAGACGTCAAGAGCCCTGACTGTATCAAGTGTGGACAGGTTGATGATAACGCAGTGAGGGAATGAGCCCAAGCGGCTGACGCGGGACATGATTGCGTCTTGTGACAGCTGCCAGGTGTTTTCTCATCGCCGGTGTCTGTTTGTTCTTTGTAGCGGTCTGCAGCTATGGCGTCTGTTTCAATGGAGGCCGATGCAGAGAAGGATCTTCACAGCTTTGTGACTGCCCTGCTGGCTTCAATGGACCCAGCTGTCAGTATGGTGAGTAGATTCAGTGTATATTTACATACAGTGTGTTGATACAGTACATCATGAAATCTCAAATTTCACCATGATGCTCTTATTTTGGTTATAATTCTTTTTTATAAATACACGGAATATATGAACATGACTAGAAAAACCATTTACACAGCACTGCTGTAACGCCACAGAACTGATCAGACGCTCGCAGGTAATGTTAGAAGAAAAGGCTTTACTGATTAACACAGAATCCAAGCTCATTGTCCAAAAACAGGCATGGGTCAAATCCAACACAATCCAATGCACAAGAACAATGACACAAAACAGGCAAACAAGACTAAAAGGGGCAAAGACAAAAGGCAGAGTCGTAAATCCAGAAAAGATCAATACACAAAAAGGGCAATACAAGAAAAAAACTGGTCGGTAGCTCAGGAGAATGAAGCAATACTTTGCAATATCCTAACTAAAGCCCAGGCTTTAAATACTAACTACTCCTAGTCATATGACAAACAGATATTTGTTTAAAAATAGCCTGAGAATGTTTTGCCAAAAATGAGCACCACAATTATTTAATATTATTGTAATCGATTATAATTTATTCCAGAGTTGTTGACTCACGACTCAATTTTGACTTGAGACGGGTGAAATAGTCAAATGCTGCAATGCCATTCTCCCACAGCTCGTAGCAACATCAGGTTCAATATGGCTTCAAATAACAAACTTTTACTTATAGAAAAAAACTTTATCTGACAGACAGCACAAAGCACTACACCCTTTAAATATGATGTCTGAAGGAAAAAGGAACACTTGAAATCTTTGGCTAGCATGTATTTTGGATAACAATCATGCTTGCTAGTGCAATTGCTAATTTAACTGAAGTTTTAGTCAGGCTGTGTTCACACAGCAGGTAAAAGTGGCCCAAATCAGATTTTTTTTGTTTGGCTGTTCACAATATCTTTTAAATGTGATCTATATGCGACATTAGTCTGAACAGGTCAGCTCCCAAACTGACCAAAAAGAACAATGCTTCACGTTGCTTCATGTGGCTCATCCAGAGGTAAACAATCATGACTGCCAACGAACGCCAGTCGCTCCCAAAGGTTTCAGCTTCATCCTCGCCAGCGTCACAAAAGCCATCATGAAGCTTCATTGACTGACAGCTGGGCTCATCACCCAGAATGTGTTCAAGCTCGATGTAAGAAGGGCATGTTATTCGGCCGCGGTCACGAATAACATATTCTTTAAACGTTGCTTTCAGACTTTTTCTTGACGCTGCAGCCTCGTTCTCCTCCGGCCATGTTTGGCCATTTCTTTCAAAATCTCTTTGAACACAGAGCGGTTGTGATAGAGCTTTCTAATTTTTTGGCACAGAAACATCAGCCCAAATGTTTATGAGGTCTCAGCAGCACAAAGTGATGATGAATGTCGAGTTGGATTGACATAAAAGTCGCATGAATTCTGATCTGACTGTTCAGACTGAGTCGCATTGCCGCATATCGAATACGTATCAGATTTCAGTACCACATATAAAAGCGTCTCAAATCGGAATTGAAAATGTCAGATTCTGTGTGTTTTTTGCTGTTCACACTGACACACAGTGAAGACAAAGATCGGAGCGGGCCACTTTCACCTGCTGTGTGAACAAAGCCTGAGTTACAGATTCTCTTAAAATGTACTAAAACTTTAGCTGGATGAGCTATCATGCTAGCTAGCATGCTTGATATACAAACTACCAACTCATCAACCATTGTCTTGTCTCTTTCCTTCAAACACTGCCTTTGCTGCATGTAGTGTTTCAGTTCAGACTGTTTTTTCTGTAAGGAAAGGCTCGTTATTTGAAGGTGTGCAGTCTAAAGACTCGAGACTGACACTGACTCTCAGCATAACTCATTTTTCTAGCTTTGCCTGGTTATTTGATTTTAGAAATACATGTAGATTTAAAGAGGAAAGTTCTTTCTATTGATTGCTGAAGTGAGGCTTAAATATCTTCTGTAATAACTTTCATTAGCTCTGACATTTGAATCAGATAAGACTGTACAATGAATCTGCACAGTATCTTGGCACATCCTTACTTGTATTGATGTAACTGGCTTGGACTGCGCTTCCTTATGAGTGAGTTTGAGTTTCCTCCTGTCTGCTGTTGGTCTTTTGTTGCCAAGTGGTGGAAAGCTAAGAATGTTATCTCTTGCAATTGTGGAACAGAAGCTGGTTCAGCAGCGTGCTGGTAATGGAGGATGTTGTTGCTTTTGTGATATCCACACACGACAGGAAATTCCTGAAGGACACCCTCCCCCCTAAATAGTCAATACATTCTATCACTTGTCTGAAGACTCTATACTTGACATGCAGAGTAGTCTATTTTTTGCTTATTATTATTATTATTATTATTATTATAGTATTGTTGTAGTGATTATTAATGAATGAATTAATTGATTAGATAGATAGATAGATAAATAGATAGATAGATTTTTATTATCTTTATTGACGTTACTCAGTACAAGTTCAAGACAACAAAATGCAGTTAGCATCTACCAGAAGTGCAAATAGTAGCAGTAGTGCAAAACAGACGGTGCAAATGTGCAATAACAGGCATAAATATGACGTATCTATGAAATATATATCTATATGAACAATATATACACAATTATAAATATATCTATGAATGATACATGCATGTATATATACACATAATACTATAAATACAATATATACGGTATGTTACGCACTGTTAGAGTAAGCAGTTATGTGCATGCAGTAGTATTTTGGATATTTTGCCATCAAAACAGTGAAAAATTTTGTGATATAAATTTGAGCTCACATCACCCATCCCTACAGAAACGTGGGGCGAAGCTTAGTTTGCTGCTGGTTAACTGTATATAGTCTCTCAAAAGGCAGTGAATGGATTGCTGCAGAGACAGACATGTGAAGTAGGTGTTGAAATTAAAGCCCTACAGTTGTCACGTTTGATGTGTGAGGGACTTCCTGAGCTGGCAGGGTGTCTGAGAGGCTCCTGTGGAGTAAAGGGCAGAGGAGAGGGGGCAGCCAGACAGCTTTATCTGGCCCTCTGCATGGAAGATAAAGGCATTTCATTTTGAGAAGAGGCCCCATCTTACTGAAACACAGTGCTGTAAGACTTCACTTTTGCAGGATTTTTGCAGAAAGTAGTTTCTCCAAATTTAGTCATTCAACCAAGATAGATTTGGTGTTACTCAGTTTTGCACTAGAGCTATGAGGCTAATGTAGCAAGCAATTAAGAGGCTTTTACTGTGCAAATGGCTGTTCATGTGTTGTTTTTGAGCTTGTATAAAATAATGTTATTTATGAAAATGGACAAAATTATGAACTCCATTCCAACTCGCCATATTTTTTACATTTGGAACAAGGGCAATACATTGTGAATATATGTTTTCGCTGAACTATTTCTTTAATTTTCTTAACAATGGGCATTGCCAAACAGAACGGTGTGTTCAACAAGTAAATGGTTAACTTGTTAAGACCCCAGCTCTTCCCTCTTGTGTGTTTTGTATGGACCAAAAGGCACTAAAGCTCAAATTAAGACCATTCGTAAGTTTCCACATGTGGTCGGCCCCCTGCTTCTAACATGTCCATCCATGCATTTGAAGTCGTAAAGGAAACGTCAGCTCCACATGGCTTTCCTCCACCATGTCAAGACCTGCTGTCATTGTCTAGGCTTTTGACTGATCGCAGGTCTAAATGGTAGAGGCCTTTGCATAAGGTCTTGCCCTCTAGCCTTTGGGAAGTAATTAGCTTATGAATAGGGAGCTGTTATATTACCTTCTGATTGACACCAAGTGGTTCACCCTCTTCTGACCATGGAGTGTGATTGGTTCAGCATTACCACTGGTGATTTCTCGTTGGTTGTGATGACGTTTAGGGGCAGAGTTAGACTCATAGACCCATTGTTGTAGTTCTGCAGAGCAGTAGGTAGCCCAGGCTTTGAAAAACTAGTGAAAAGACATGAAATGGACCAAACTGATAGGGGACAATGGGGTCAAGTGAGGTAATGACCTTTAAGGAAAAAATATAGCAAGTGTCTATAAGCTGTCATTTGAAATACAGACCTCTTATAGGATGACTGTCTATCAACTGTTTGATTTGATTATTTGTCTAGCCGAGCTGTTATGCCTTCTGCCTTTTTCTTTCACTTTGGTCCATCACAGGGCTGCCATAGTCAAAGTTATGCTGTGCATCTTCTTTAATGGTGCAACGAAACAACAGAAATGATATTGCCCCTACTCTACATGGTGGTTGTCAACTGATGATCTGAAGGTGGATCCGGCAAAGTATTTCAGTGGACTGATTGAGTAGAAAAGCTGTTTAGAATATGTAAAGAAAGGTTGTGTTTCAGCAACATGAACATGAACTAACCTGGCTATTGTAGCAGTCCTGTGTTGCAGTTGATCCAATTACATGCATTAATGTAAATTACTTAGCCAAAAGCAGCTTATTTTGACAGCAATCTCAGCTTTAAGAATCACATTAGTAATGTTTGTGGAACGTTGGCAAGAAGTGTCTCCAAAGTCCATGACTTTCTTTTCATCACCTCTCATTGTGAGAAACTAGTTGATGCCCTTGTGTTAACAAATTATTGTAATGCGCTGCTTTCTGGTTTGCTTTAGAGATCTGTTACTAATTCACAGTGAGTGTCTCAGGCCTTAAGTGTACTAAAATGAGAGACCATATAACGCCTATTTTTAAAGCCCCTCATTGATTTCCTTTGTTCTCTCAATTTTTTTTTTGAAATTCAGTTTTTACAAAATGTCCCAACTTTTCTGGTTTTCTTATTTTTATTTTATCTGAACAGAGATTGGCTATAGGGGTACAGATCAGGCCCCAAAATGAATTATTTCACATATTTTTGTAGATTTTTAATTTTCTTCCAGTTCTTAGGATGAATAAAATAAACGTTAACCTCAGCATGAAAGGTGCACCAGAGTGCTTGTCCATTTCCTGACAGCACAAGAGGGTGAAATGCTCATTAAGAATAGCCTTCATCATTT